ACCACTACACTCGCAATATGTTACTAGGGATGACCAGCGAGAGAAGCGAGGTTGGAACGAAAATCAACCTAGGTAGCATTATTGGACGAACAAGCTAGAATGAAACTTGAAATCGATCATTTGGGTTTTGATTAAAAGACGAAAGGAAGCTACACTAAAGAGCACAGAGCACAGAGCACAAATGACCCCAATGTTTCATCTTGAGGTCTCTAGGAATGCTTTTGAGAACCAATTTGTTAGGATTTGTGGCAAAAGAACAATATACACAAACCATTCAAAGAATACAGAAATTTAATGTGGTTCGGTACTAAGACCTACTCCACGAGAAGTAATCCCCAATTCTGTCATACTATGGTTTCACCCTTTTAAAGATAAAACAAGTACAAGAAAGGGAAAAAAATCTCACGACAATATTTTCATAATACAAGGAATATTCGACATCCAAGAATAACAAGATTGTTCCATAAAATGAGCAGGAATATTGGTAATTAGGCCATTTGTTCAACATTCCCCCTAAGTTGGGGATAAAAATATCTATGGAGCCAAACTTGGATAAAATTTGTTGGAAATGTTCCTTGTCATTAGTTTTAGTAAAGATATTTGCAAGTTGCTTTCCACTTCGGACATAAGGAGTCTCGATTTTGGCTTGAATTTTCTCTCGAATGAAATGACAATCAACCTCAATGTGTTTAGTTCTTTCATGGAAAATAGGATTGGTGTCTATGTGTATAATTGCTTGATTGTCACAAAACATCTTCATAGATTTCTGAGATGCAATCCCTAAATCATTAAGAAGATATTGCAACCAAATTAATTTGCTATCCATTGAGGCCATGGCTCTATATTCAACTTCTACACTTGAGTAGGATATAACATTTTGTTTTTTACTTTTCCATATAATAAGATTTCCCCCAACAAGTGTATAATATCCCGAGGTGGACTTCCTTTCCATTTCATCACCGACCCAATCTACACCTAAGTATCCTTGTATTTCTATATGTCCATTCTTTTTCATCTAAATTCCTCTTCCTGGTGATCCTTTGAGATATCACAAAATTTGATCAACAGCTTCCATATGTCCCTCTTTAGGATCATGCATAAGTTGGCTAACAAAGCTAACAACATAGGCAATATTTGGTTTAGTAATAGTTAGATAGATCAATCGTCCAACAAGTCTTTGGAATCTCATGTTATTATTCATAGGTTTATTATTAAAGTTGCATTTTCCCTTGTAATCTATAGGAGTTTTAACTAGCTTTACTCTTAATTTTTCTATTTCTTTTAACAAATCCATGGCATATTTTCTTTAGAAAAGAAACAAACCTAAGAAATATCTTCGTTTAGTTTTCCCGAGTCTTTGATATCAAACCTTTTGTTAAGATGTTCCTTAAGTTCAAAAATATCAAGAGTATTGCCACTTGTAATAACTATGTCATCCACATAGATTAGAACAATAATAGAATTTGAACCACTCCCTTTAATGAACATAGATGAATCGGTTGCACTTCTTGTAAAACCAAGAGTCATAAATGCTAAACTAAGTTTGGTATACCAAGCTCGAGGAGACTATTTGAAACCATATATTGATTTATTCAATTTGCACACCAAGCTGTTATGAGACTCTTGTGGGTGTCCATGAAAGAGATCCATATAAATTTCTTCTTCGAGGTCACCATGTAAGAATGCATTTTTTACACCCTTTTGGAAGTGAGGTCAATCATAATTCACTACAACTGATATAAGCACTCTATAACAGTGCTCGTTTTTTACAACGGGAGCAAATGTTTCTTTGTAATCAACTCCATACGTTTGAGTGTAGCCCTTGTCCACCAACCTTGCTTTATGACGTTCTAGAGAACCATCATTGTTGTATTTGATTTTGTAAACCCATTTGCATCCTATGGACTTCTTTCCATTTGGTAATGGCACAACATCCCACGTGTGATTTCTATTGAGGGTTTGAAGTTCTTCATCCATGGCCTTCCTCCAAATCAAATGGTTCTTAACTTCATCAAAGCTAGATGGTTCAACATGTTTTCCGATGGAAGTTAAAAATGCCAAGTGAGAAGAAGATATATTATCATAGCAAACATAGTCTTTAATAGGGAAAGAAGTTACATGATAGGTGTAAAAGTCTTGAAGTCTAGTAGAAGGTTGATGAACACGCAATGACCTTCGAGGAAGATTTTGGTCATTGAATAATGTATGTGATTGTAATGTAGGATCAGGTTCAAATTCAACCACGGGTTCCATAGGATCAACACTCTTCTTGAGTAGAGATTGGAGGACCTTCTTCATGAACATCTATGTCCTCACTCGTTTGTTCACCTATTTGATTTGTAATGCGATTCAAATGTACATCTTCACTAATAAGGGGAAAAGGAGCAAATTCACGATAATTCTTCCTCTGAGTTTGACCTAAAGAATTTTGAAAATATGATTCATTCTCAACAAATGAGACATTACAGGTGATATATAGTTTCTTAGTTTTGGGATTATAGCATTTATACCCCTTCTTTGTAGAAAAATATCCAATGAAGACACATTTAGAAGCATGGTGATCATGTTTTCCAGCATTTTGTAGGTGAACGGAACAAATGCACCCAAAAACCCGAAAGTGGGAGATATTAATTTTGTGTCCTTTGATAACTTCTAAAGGAGACTCATCATTCAAAACTCTACCTGGCAACCTATTGATCAAATAGCAAGCTAAAACTGCATTTGACCAAAAATATTTTGGATGATTCATTTGAAACATAAGTAACCTAGTGACATCAAGATGTCTATTTTTCCGCTCAACAACTCCATTTTGTTGAGGAGTTCCTACACAAGAGGTTTCATGTATGATCCCTTCACTTTTAAGGTACGATGCAAAAGGTTTGTTATCATACTCAGTACCATTCAAGTTTAAAATTTCGATACGATATGCCATATCGGGGGTGTATCAGTAGCATATTGACGAAAAAGATACGGCCAAAAACTAAAAAAAAAAATAAAGGGGAAAAAGTAAGCTTCTTTCCCCGAAATAAGCCTTCTTTCACCCCCAAATGATTCTAAAACTCCAAACTTCATTCTTAAAGTGCTAAATTTGCAAAAGTTTGCAAAAAACAAGTATGAAATATTAATTTTTTTAAGATTTTTCAAATTTTGAAAAAAAATGGCAAAAATAGGTAAATTTTTCTAATCTTTTATAATATCTTGTGATTTCTTTTTTTTTTCTTGAATGTTTGAATTTATGTTGATCTACATTTCTTACATTCAAAATCACAATTTTTTTTGTGTGTTATCAGAAGATTTAGGGAAATTTCATGAAGATATTTGAGAAAAATATAAATTAACAAAAAATTTGAAAATGTAATTTTTTTTCTACCTATAAAGACTAAATATGTTTTAGATCTATGGATTTATCTATCATATCCATTTAAATTTTCACATCAACCAATAGGGTACTTGATTGAGTGAAAGATTTGCCTCCCTACTTAGCTTGAACCGGTTCTTGTTGTATCTCAAATATTTTTTAAGCGCTATTTTGTTGTCTATACATATTACGAAGAGAATTCCACAAGTCTTTAGTCGTTTTAGCTTAGGCAAAAATATCATATATTTTTTGTTCTATAATTCTAAACATCCAGGATAAAATCAATTGATCATTCATCTCCCATTCAGCACATTGTAGGGAGAATCACAAAATCAAGCAAATTATAACCAAGTTTCAAAAAAACAGCGGAAAAATATTTTTCTCCCTTTTTGTGTGAATCTGTAAGGAAACAATTTAGTAGAGCTTAAACCAAAGAACAAGCACACAAGAACACAACTAAATTTACGTGGAAAAACATTTCCGGTGTGGGAAAGAAAAAACTACGGTCACCCAAAAAACTTTCACTATCAAGAAAGTGGTTGTACAAGGGTTCTCTCTAGATAAAACTAGAGGCATACAATCAGMAAATCATCAAGAAAATATGTTTCTTGGAAACTAACAAATATCTCAAGATAATGGAGAAATCTCACCCAAAACGGAAGTACTGTTCACGAACTCAGATCTCACAAACCAGATCTCCACCGTTCAGATTGAAGAACCTTAAGTCGCGAACATGCCTGCAAAGTTTCAGCTCAATCGGACCACAAACGACCTTCGATCGGAGCACAAGATGAAAAACTGCGCAGATTGGAATTTCAAGAATCCGCTCCTTTTCTCTCTCCGTTTTTGCACGGGATTCTCTTCATTTTTCTTCTCTTCTTCTCCCAATCTTTTTGGCAACTAACACCACTAAAAGATTATTTCCTTTTCCTATTTTCATTTGAACAAGAATACCCTCATCCATGGCTCAAAAATACCACATGGGCTTCTTGAGCCATCCTCCACATAAGAGGGAAACCCAACACACACTTAGGAGTGGTTTAGTTTCTCCATTTATAAAACCTATTTTTCCTCTTCTCTTAAAAGCAACTGTAACTCCTCTAGCACAAGACAAATAATTAAGTCCATTCAACGGTATGATATTAGCCGCGAAACTGGTGCCACTTTGTGCAAAAAATCGGTCCATGACAAAAAAAAAGGGCAGAACTTTAAACAAATCAAAATTTAATAAAAACAGGTACTTGAAACTGCCACAAAAAACGGAGAACAGCACTTGTGGGTAGTGAAGCAAAGACAGTGGTGCTGCCCAAAGAAAAGTTCAATCGATAGAACTCACAGAATAGATCTTAGGCCTGATCCTAGACCTATACCATGTGGCAAAAGAACAAACATACACAAACCACTCAAAGAACACGGAAATTTAATGTGGTTCGATACTAAGACCTACTCCACGAGAACTAACCCCCAATTCTATCATTAAGGGAAACTACCATGGTTTCACTCTTTTAATGAGAAAACAAGTACAAGAAAGGAAAGAAATCTCATGACTATTTTCACAATACAAGGAATACTCAACTTCCAAGAATAACAAGATTGCTCCATAAATGAGCAGGAATATTAGTAATTAGGCCATCTGTTCAACAGGTAAACAAAATGGTAATTAATGCGTTCTGGAATGAACTGTATCAGTGACTGAGAAATCAAATATTACATTAAGTAATGAAAGCAGAAAGCCAACCCAACTCACTCTCTCCTCTTTCTTTGTGATGACTGTAAAAAGTAATACAAAATGAAAGATTACAGTATCTGCAAGCTACTAATCTGAGATTCTGAACAACCATCACGAGAGAAAAAAAGAGACTCAACGTATAAAATGTTACACATTTAATACTAAACTTCTTCCTCTCAAAAGACATTACTATTCTACAAAGTGGAATCAAGTACTTACAAATCATATCTCCCTATTTTCCAGAGACAGAGTACTGATGTTTCAAAACCAAATAGCCCAAACAAGCTTGTTGATCAATGAATGGGGAGATCTCTCAGAAATAAAGCTTTATTCCCAGACGCTCCCGATGACCTGACCTCCTGTAGATTTTGTAGTGCTTATCCTCATTTCGGTTTCTTCTCTCTATCTGAGATGCTCCTCAAAAGCTGCTTAGAGCACATATCCTGTGCCTGAGTTGCACTCTTTACACGCTTTGCCGTCACCCAAGCAGGTTCCTGCCAAGAAAGGAAATTAATTTTCCATGATCTTTAGCTTCTTGAGTGGTGGCGCGGTACCCTATAATTTAAGAATCATATTGTTTGTGGAACTTCTCTAATCCATATCATGGGTTGTTTTGAGATGCAATGGGGGAAAAAGTAGAAGAAATCAAAGGAAGAAAAAGTATATGATAAAACAGATAATCAGCCATTTTCGTGAGTCAGTCAGCAAACAGAGAGATAGTTACCTCTGGCACAAAGTGAGAGAATCCAAATTTGATAAACAGGAGAATGTGCTCCATGATAAGGATTGCTGCTAATCCTGGCTCAATTTTCCATTTGCCCTCCCGATCATACAAGCACACCAAAAGTGCACAGTTGGTGCAGATTGACATCACTATCAGAAACTGAGAATTACAAGATATGGTATTTTAGATAGATCACAGGGTTGCAGGAAGAATAATGAATTAACAGATGCAGATAGGTCCTGGCAGTTTTGTTCCTCGGCAGAACCACATCTTAGTCTTAGTCTGCTACTACACAAACCAGAATTGCTGGTTGCAAGATTCCCTCAATCTAGAAGCACTTAAATGAGTGCAAATAATAAATCTACCAGCCATTAACAAGGAGCATCAATGCAAGAATGTCTCTCAAGAAAAAAATATATGTTGCCATTGCCTACCAAAATCCCCTGCTTAAAACCATCAAATTCCTTTAGGATACCCACCCATCAAATAAGAATTGGTGGTCTTTATTTTATAGGCATTCTTCACTGAACTTCTGCCAAACCTAAATTTAAATCCAGAGAGCCTCATGAAAAACAGAAATGAATTAACCATTTTTTGGCAATATAAAATTCAGTAAGAATTGGAGGCTCTATAGCTTGCTCCCATATTGACACAAACTTCCAAGTGTCATACGAGGCCTTTAGTACCTGAAATATGTTTAGCCAAGCTCCAATTGTTGCGGCAGCACGAGGAATAGGCCTCCTCAACATGGAAAGAAGCTTTAATGCATCTGTTCTAATCTCTGTAATATTGTTCTGCACCAAGGTGTAATAGACATTTCATTCTCCCCCCCTTTTCCTCATTAGACTGCAGCAAGATTCCTATACAGCCCAACAACAGCATAGACATGCAAATATGGGCAACTTACCAACAAAGTGAAGGAGAAAGCAAGGGGAAATGCACATGCAAACATCATGGCCATTCCAAACTGCAAAGCCAACTCAAGAAAATCTGCAAAGGATATTGTCTTTTAAGTCAACCAAGAAACTTAGGTTGGTCCAAATACCAAACTGTCAACTGACTTTGCTTTGTCACGTTACCATCAAATAGACCATCTTCAAGTTCTTCCCCTATGCTTGCAGAGTAAGCAGGTTTGAGATACTCTTTCTCTACTCTAGAAGTAACTTGAATCTTCCCTGTTGATGATCCCTTCTCGTACTTTTTCTTACTTTAGGGAATACAAAATGGTCAGAAATTGCCCACAGGGGAGATAAACCCGTTGAATAGACAAAAAGTATAAGTACTAGACAAATGGTAAAGCATAGAAATCCATCAAGGAACTTACTTGACAGCTCTATATTTTTTATAGTTGTATTTTAGATACGGAAGAGAGTTCTCCATAACATTGTCCAACACCTGAAGAACATCTTCTCAGTTTCAATCAATACAAAAGCAAAAAAAAAAAAAAATAGTACATGAAGCAAAATACAGGCAGGAAGTTAATTACCTTTTCTTACCTGAGACACAATCAAGCGTTGAATAAGAACTTGGCGGAGGGTTGTAAAGTTTCGGTGCAAAAGGGCATGATAGAACAGACCAATATATGATTGCATAAAATAAAGACCAAAAACCTGAGAGAATGTACAGATTTGCGGTCAGGCATGATTTCCTCTGAGGTACAACAAAAACTAAGTGGGATGCCTCGATTCCAAATAACAATAGACCAGTGGGAGAATCTACGCTGCATTTGGTTCCTCAGTAAGTGATAAAGGGGAAAGTTATGGGGAAATCCTTTACATTGGTCAAAATTCCCCCTTTATTCACTTGTTTCCCAAGGAACAAAATGCAACATTAGAGTTCAATCATAAGGAATTTTCATTAAGAAACAATGAAAACCAAGTAGGAGTCCATTTCCAAATTCTAGAATCACCTTGTACACCAGGCTATCAGACATATACTCTGTGCTTTTATTGTTTTCATATTTAATGAGCTTGACTGAAACTATGCCCCCAATTTTTGTTAAGTACTGGATGGCGAAAAGATAAACAGCTGTCAGACTAAACCTGAAACACCAAAGATATATCTAAAGATCATAACGAGAACTTCATAGAAAACCTACCAACCATTTTCTACTAAATGAATATAGACTATTCATTAAGTGTAGTAGGCAGGGGTATATGTTGTTTTTTCCATATAAATAGTAAGAGCAATCACAAAGCAGGTAACAGGAAGGTAAAATAAATTAACGAAAAAGTGGTAGTAATAAATTAGACTTGTTTAATCTTAACTTCGAATTGTCCAAAAGAAAATGCATTGCATTAGTTTATTTTCATTAATCATAAAGTTAAAATTAATGGTTTGAATAGCATCACAAGCTTATTTTTCTAAAAAGGAAACAAGATAGCCTGAAAGATTTAAGTTAATATCCTGCAACCAGCACAACAAGTAAGACAGAAGCAATACTAAATGATTTTCCAAAACAGTAGAGAAGTGGAAAAAAAAAGAAGAATGCCTACATCCATAAATTATTACTAAAGTAGAGAAAATGTGGTCAAGTTTACGAACACAGAACGACAGAATCTCTTCACTACAGATATTCCTAAGAGGAAGACCAAACACTGACAGACTCCAGTAAGGAAAGAAATCTTCTTTAAATATATTATGAGCCAACAACATAAAAAAGGAGGAAAATGAATAAATTTTCTGCAATTCATCTGACAAAAAACATGTAAGGGAAAAAACAAATAAAATTGTTTCAACTGTGGAATTTGTGTGAAGCCAACATAACTAATGTGAGATTAGTAAATAAGTGACAGTTCATTCTGTTAATTTGATACCCAAGAGCAATTCATAATTAACCACCTTTTTCAGTATAGATGCTTCCACATATGGTAAATATGGTCATTAACTCACATACAAATAGTGAAAGCTATAACTATGATAATGCCTGATGTGCCCAAGTGTCAAAGTGCATTTAGCAGTCATACTTGTGGCTTGACTAAGGAAATGGGTAGGAACTGCCAAACATTATATGTGATCTAGACATTGATTAAAAAGACGAAGCTACTTACAATCATAAGATAATAATATTAACCTTTTACCAGAGAAAATCAAACACAGCTCAGATTCTTACTTGGTTAGATCAGAACCAAGAACTTCATATGTATGAGCATAAGCCAGCTCAAATGGTAATTGGAGACAAATAATACTCAAGATAATGATTGCATCATTTCTGAATCTCAGTAAATGTCCAAACCACTCGTCTCTTTGAAATGCTTCTTTTTCTTTTGCTTTATCAGTTCCCAACTTCTTCACAAGTTCCACATCAGACAGAAGGCCACTCTGCCCCATGTCCAAAACTGTATATCCAGAGTCTACTCGTATTGAATTACTCACCGGCCATCTACACAGAAGATGTGAAATAAATGGATTTAATATCATGTGGTCTGATGGCCCACGTATCAATGAAATATTTATGATTTCATTGAAAAGAAAGGTGGCTATAAACGAATTGATATACCTGGCCAAAAGAGCATAGTTCTTGCGTTTCCAGAACTGTAAAAATAATACAGCCCAAGAAATAATGCATATAAAGAAAATAGGAAGAATCCGTAATTGCCATGATCTGAAGAAGATGTCAAACACAAAGTAAGCACATAAATCCTATAAAATTGCACCCAACAGACAAAATTATTGAAGGCTTAACAGCATTAAGAATTTTTAAGAGGAAGCAAGACCTACCCAAAATTAATCAACTGCAAAGTAAGCCCAAATACAGCAGGAAAGAACATCCACCGTGTATACATTCCAAGGAAAACAAAATATGTTGCAATCTACATACAGGAAATATAGAGTGATCAGTTACATGTTTGGGGGGGGGAGACAAAAAGGAGATGTTATAATGCCATCCAGATCCATAGATTTGTTCCACCTTTGTCCCAAAGTACAAGTAAATCTCATCAACTGGTTGCCATGTGAGGTCTAACCAGTTCAGTGCCCAACTTCTCAAGAGCTGCTTCCTCTTTGATTCATCTATACATAAATAAATTTTCATAGTTTAAATGTCACCAAAAAAACTGTGCATAAGTTGGAAGTTGGAACGAAGGTACAAGTGAGCATACCATGCAAAGGGAAGGGTTGTTTGGCAATGCCTTCAGATTCCAATTTTGCAAGTAGAGATTCCCCCTGTTCCCACTTAAACTCTTTCCCGTCAAAACTTAGAGTTACAAATGACTTGTTCTTGTTTACCTGTGAAATTTCACTTAAAACTCAGATCATTTTAGTGTTGCATAGGTAGAAGAAGAAGGGAACTAAACAGGCAATTGAGAGAACAAAAAAGAATATCCAGGGAAATGAAAGGTAGGTAAGTCAAAATTATACATCAAAATTAATTGAAGTTAGACATAATTCATAATTAACAATATAAGATGAAAGAACAAAAGGAAGATATCCTATTGGATGGATTATTCTGAATAAAATCAAATGGAATGTAACACTATACCAAGAGAGATGGCTGCTATGAAGAGAAAAGGATAATAATATGGGCTCTGATAATAATGAAAATCAAGCAATGAAACTTCAACACTTCATATGATATGAATTTGATCTGATTATTAAAAAAAAAGTCCAAACAAATCAAGAATCTTTTAAAGAAGTAAATAGGCAATGACTCACAATTCCATAAACTAGGTGATGAAAGCAATGGAACCTCTCACACCAACTAAACAATGAACCATCAGGTTGCCTCACAAATGCTTCAACCTCGTCCCATTGAAATGGTAAATCCATTCCTGGAACCAAACCCATAAGAATCCATAATTATAAGAAACCCATCAATTACTACATGAAATTGGAAAAGAAATATATCTTTTACCCATAACAGTAGACCATAAAATGATACCTCCTTATTTTAGTGAAAAAATAGAAAAGCAGATCCAATAGCATGGGGAATCAACCGATCATTACCAATGTGAGTAGGCTTCCTTATTTGCAGGTCAGATGCAACCCTCCCCAAAATCTCCAGAGGTGCTGCCAACTAAAGGGGCCCCAAAAGGGAAAAGGATATGAAATGGAATTGATAACCAAATTTTGTAGGAAATAAAGAATTATGAACAAACTCTCTTTTAATAAGCACTTAAAATGATACCACAAATCCAGATATCCAAGAAATAAACACATCAAAGTACCTTCAAACTTGCTTATGTTCTCTTTAAAAGCAACATTCATATCTAAATTCTTATCTATAGTAGAATTCAGGAAGATGTTATCATTTTCTTTTTTCTCTTGCGGGAAAAGCAATGGCCATGTTGTCTCTTTTTTTATTGGCAGTGGTCATGGAAAATGAAAAAAAGTAATTTTTGAGTTTGACCTTTTACGTATCTGGATCAGGAGTAAATCCTTGAACGACAACATAGTAAAAAGAAACATCGAATAGAGAACCCCAAGAAGGAAAGGCAAGAACGCATTGAGGAGGGAAAGGAAGAACGATCAAACCTTAATAAACTCGTCTGAAAGGCCAACTACTCTCTCAATTATCAAGCCTGCATTCATAAACTCAGAAACAAGAAGCTCAACGCAATCGCAACTCCCATCTCCTTCGTTCACCGTCCTCTTCGGAACCACCACTGCAACCTCAAACCCAGTTCGCTCTTCTTCACGTCCATTCATCTCTGGCCCCCAATAAAGTCACCTGTCTACTCGCCCAAGCTTCCACGACTGAAATGGCAAATGGGTCTCGGTGTCAGAGACAGAGAAAGCTCTGGGAAACCCGAAAATGCCTTAACGGGTTGGTGTTTCCAGAAGAAAGGCACGAATGGAGGTCGAGAATGTACAATGACAACAACCCAACGAGAGAGAGAAGACAGAGATGGAGGGAGGGAGGAGGGACGAAAGGAGGAACAGGGGGAGCTGTTGCGGGTAACTCAGGCGTTATGGAACTGTACACGTGGTGGTTCTCGTTGAAAAAAATGGCGGTTTCCTTGCTTCGGAAAGGGAAGGAAGCGTGCGAATGAGTCGCGGGAACGACTCCCAATGTGTCGTTGATTTTCGTAACGGCACCAGTACAATTACAAAGGATTCGTGATCTATGGACCAGTACAAAGGATAAGGATTCCTTCAGTAGACCTTGGCTAGAATGAGTTCAACATCGGATCGATCACCTTTCGTCGAGTTCGGATCCGCAGAACATTCAGACGTAGGGGTGTCAATCGACCGGTTTTGTATCCAAACCTCTTATCAAATCGGATTTATACGATTCATTATAATTATTGGATTGAGTCAATCTAAAATAAATTGATAGGTATGAATTTGATCTAAACTAAATTTTTAATAATCCCATTATGAAATAATTTAAAATCTATTAATTAATTAATATAAAATCACTTTTATGAAAGTATTTTTATAAAAGTAATTGTATGAAAGTACTTTTACTAAAACATTTTTGTAAAAGTATTTTTGTGAAATTATTTTTACAAAAGCATGTTTATAAAAATATTTTTACACGAAATAACTTTTATGAAATCACTTTTATAAAAGTATTTTTACAAAAAACACTTATACAAATATACTTTTATAAAAATACTTATATGAATGTACTTTTACAAAATCACTTTTATGAAGTTCTTGCTTTTTGTAAGTTTCAGATTTTTTTCATTTTAATATATTTTTATAACTTTTTATATGTTCTTTTTTATATAATTTTTGATATTTCATTCAGTTTGGATTTGATCCAATTGGAATGGATTTAGACTGGATTGGGTCCAATTCATTTGTAAGTGGATTCACATTGCGCTGGATTGGGTTGGACCAAATACAGTCCAATTGACACATCTACAAAGAGGTGTACATATTATTATTTTCTACACTTTATGCTACATCTATCGATTAGTATGTAACACATTTTTTTTTACGGCTGAGTTTGGAAGGAGTACAAATGCAAATATGTAGAGTGCAAAACCTTATCTTTTGTATTATTTTGTATGTATTTACATTGCCCATATCCCGGATTTCCTACCCACGAGAACTCTGCCCACATCCACCCACAATACACTATCCCTGTGAATTGGGAACATTTCCCCCTAATACTATGTAGGAGGATGAGATGCTTTCCATGTGTGGCTGCGATGTTATGTGGGTAGGCGTGGACAAAGTTTGTGTGGACAAGAGACCCAAACTCCATTTGTACTCCTTCCAAACTCAGCCTACTAAACATGTATGTGCGTAAAGTCAACAACTCGATTTCCTACCCACAATGCTCATAAAAAGCTGAAAAACTAAAAACCTGAATAAAATCGAGAAAGCCGAATCGAAAAATGCGATTAATCAAATCAATTGATTCAATTATGGTTTTGTATTTTAAAAAAAACCGAATGATTGATTTGGTTTTCAATTAACCTATAAAAAAAGCGATGATTAACAAAATCGACTGTTATATATATTTATATGTATGTTATATTTATTTATATATTTAATACATGTCACATATTATTTATATTATATATTATTTACTATTTATAGTATAATATATTATATATTTGTTTATAATATATGCTATAAATATAACAAACTGAAAAATCCAGCCTATGAAAACTGCAATCGGTCAATTGGTGGTATTGGTTCGAGAAATATAAAAAAGCAGTAGAACTAGTTAAATTTCAAAAAATTGCCTATGGTTTAATTACCAAACCGTGAACACCCCTACCCACACTTACCCAAATGACATTGCAGCCACAGGAACATCTCGTGCGGTGTATGTTCTTATGCATTAGGAGATCTTCCCAAGGCTATAGTATTTTGGAGTTCACATATGTGCCCCCACCCAACACGTCCCAAAAATGTCCTACACTACATCTCAGCATGCATTGGGAATATCTCCCATATTTGTCATTGTGAGATGCTCCCAATACACGACTGGGATTAGCTGAGGGGCGTTGGGTAGGTGTGGGTATAGTTATTGTGGATAGGAGATTCAAAGTCGCTATAAAAATAGTTGGGTCCGCTGCACTTTTATCTTTCTAAACTTAACTTGCACTTTTATTCAGTATGTGACAAGTGACAAAGCATTTCATTACAAGTGTTGTCTCATGTGTGAATATTTAGTGTTAAGACCTCCTACCCACACATCATTACAGCTGCACATTGAGAACTATCTCCTGTATTTGCATGTAACCATTCGTGGGAGATGTTCTCAATATGCGATTATAGTGTCTTATGAGTAGATGTGGCTAGGATTCTTGTGGGTAGGAGATTTGCATGAAAATATTTAGGGGGTGTTTTTTTTTGGATTTTGAGAGTGGGGAAAATTGGTCAATGGGATAATTGACCAAGAATACCATGTGTTATTTTTTCATATTAATGTGGGGACCAGGGAATTGAGGGAAAGTTTATTTTCCTAGGTATCATTTACCCAATACCCATCTCTTAGGTGGGTAAATAACTTTCCCACATGGGGGAAAGATTCTAACATTTAAATAGGAAAAAAATGCCTCATTTAATAATGGATTTTATGGCTAAAATGGTCATTTTCTTTTATACTTAAGAAATAAAAGAATATGGGTAAATACACTTACTTGGGTAAGTATTTTCCAATAAAAACTTACTCTAATAACTGCATTTACCTAGGTAAATAACTTACTGAAAAACAAACGGGCCCTTAGTGTTCTTACTGAAAAACAAACATACTCCTTTGATACATGTGATGTTCCTTTGGATTTCACATGACTCCCCATAAAGCATGCCCCTTCAATACAACCCAACTGTGCATTGGGAGCACTTCCCCATGACATCCAATTTGGGCCCGTTTGTTTGCTTTGAATGTCTCTCATTTATCATGTATAATAGCAATAAAGCTCACTTTTTGTTTTCCAAATATACCACCAAAAGGTTACTCCTTTTATATATGCTATAAGGACCCTATATATTATTAAATTAATAATTAATAATTAATAATAATTAAATTTATAGTTAATCAAAATAATTAATTAATATATTTAAAATGCATAATTTTTAATTAATGAATCAACCGTAAATTAATAATTTTGTATTTGATATTTTGCTAATTAAATAAATAATTAATAAATAATTGAACAAATAACAAAATAATTAAATATGCAACTAAATGATACATATATAATTGATAAAACAACAATAATTTATAAGTATTACCTTATTATTATTATTATTGTTGTTGTTGTTGTTGTTGTTGTTGTTGTTATTGTTGTTGTTGTTGTTATTATTATTATTGTTGTTGTTGTTGTTATTGTTGATTAAAATACAATAACATATGAGGAGAATAAATTACTTGGGGGAATCTTTTGGAAAACAAAACATGTAATTAAATTGGCAATTAAATAATACATATAACTAACAAAATAATAATTTCCAAATATTACTTCATCAATAATGTATAATTAGTTAATTGAGTAATTAGTATTAAATATTTAAATAATAATTTTTAAAAACTACTTCATTGTCAATATTTTATTTTTATTTTATTGTTATTTTATTTGTTTATTGTTGTTATAATTATTATTGTTATTTCATTAATTGGTAGTTAATTTATTAAAAGTCAAACAAGCTTTCTCATATCTAAAATTAAAATAGTCAATTGTCATTTTTCATAACTCAACATTCAGATTTTATAACATTCTCTTCATTCAAACTTTTAGAGCCAAGAAAATTGATCAACTCCAATACACACCTCTATAAATAATTATCACAATTTCAAAGGCATTCAAATGTTAGACTTCAATGCAAATAAATAGGCCCTTAATGGGGTCATGGATTGGTAGTTGTTGGCAAGGTTCAAAATATCGATACGCCTGATATGCCGGTAGGGGGCGTATTGAGCGAACCGTTACTGTTTTATTTTATTTTTATTTTTTTCTAAAACCATTTCAGGGGGGTGGTTTAGGGTTCCTCCACCCCTAAACTGGTCAGACCTCCGATACACTCACTATAGAGGTGTATCGGAGGGGTCCCAGAACGATACGTATCAACCAATATGGGCTGATACATGTCAATACTTTGAACCTTGATTGTTGGTATGCATGTATAAGCCCACTAACATTAAGCATAGGAGCGTCCGTCTTTCTTTACATTGATCAGTGTAGGAGAGTCTGTCCTTTTAATGGGGTTTGAGGTTTCACCAAAACTAGTGAAGCCAGATCATATGCCATCAACATCAAGGAAGTGAAATAAATGTTAATATAAACCATAATGGGTTAGCTCATAAACTAGCAAATACAGCTTTACCATAAATGTAAATAAACTATATATCAACTATCTAAGGTGGAAAATCGAATTGAGGTAAACTTTATACCCCGGTTCGATTTTACACATGTTTGGAAATAGTGTAATTTTCTATTGTAAATCGGTGTAAAATTGATTTTTTAATTTTTTTTACACCAATAATCGTGTAAAATATATATCAAAATTATCGGTGTAAAACTAATGTCTCTCTCTCTCTCTCTCCTTCTTTTTCTTCCCCCTTTTTTCTTTCTGTTCCATCACCGCCACTGCAGTTGCAGCAGCAGATCTGAATCCACCTCCGACCTTTCTCTCACAATCTATCTCTCTTTCATTCCCTCTTTTTTTCTCTTATCTTCCTCCTCCTCCTCCTCCTTCTTCTTCTTCTTCCCTCCACCTCTGTGTAAATTTTCACAGAATTTACATCTTGACAACTAAACATGGTCGGTGTAAATTTTCAAAATCTATCAGTTCCAATTTCGATCAACAACTAAATGATTCAAATTTTTCATTGGTGTAAAATTGAATTTACACTTAAAACAAATGCAGCCTTTATGTTCAACTCTGTTTGTTTTAAATGTTAATGTTTTAACCTTTTTTGTTTTCATTTTTCATCGTTTTTCTACCTTTGGACTTCGGATGCAACCAGTGGCGGCAAAGTAAGCATCCAACCAATGAACAGATCAGGTGAGTTTACTTTGCCATCATTGGTTTCCAAAGTTGAAGAAGACATAATGAAAAAGGAGAGTTAATTAGAGCATTGGCATTCTCATAATCATATCCCTCATTGTAGCATTGGTTTAATGGAGTTGGACTTAAAATGTGTATGTCTAAAAATTTAGATACTAAAGTGGTACATTTGGAAGTTTAGGCCATAAAGTGAGACTATCACTTATATGTATTTTTTTTTTCGAATAAAAGGGGGGGGGGATTCTACCAATGTATAAGAAATCCAATCGCACATTAACGTTAAATTCATTGGAGATATGTTAATGTGAAGATGGGTGTTGTGTTATCACTTTGTTTGTATGGTTTTGTTTTTCAGTGTAAATGCGAACCAATGTAAAACTCCACCATTCCGTTCGCATTTACACGTATTTGTTTTCAATGTAAATATGGACTTGTATAAAGCTCCACTATCGGTCTGTATTTTCACGCGTTTGTTTTCAATGTAATGCTTACATCGAAAATCAGTGTAAAAAGTTTCAATGATTGAATTTTCCATTGATTATCACATAAAAAAAACTCCAATGGTCCATTAAAATTTTAAATTCATCAATTGATTTTAAATTGATGAATTTTCCACCAAAGATAAGCGCATACTAAGGCTGTGTTTGGTTTGAAGGAAAAAAGGTAGGGAACGAAAGGGAAATGTATGGAAACCTGTACAAACTTTTTATGGGTTTCCATACATTTGCCTACCTTTTCTTTCAAACCAAATACAACCTAGGGGAATAGCATTTTCATGGGCAGTGTTAAAAATGAAGTGGGCTCATAACATAATTTTACCTTTTATCCAAACATATGCATTTCTATTGCACTGGGTTAGTTTGGTTTATAATCAGAATTGAAACCAAAATCCCTCAGAATCAGAATGGTCTATTCCCACAGTCTATAGGAGAAATTCCCAAAATGTGTGGTTGGATTTATTGTTCTCACCATACTGGGCTCATTACATAATTTTACCTTTTATGTAAACACATGCATTTCTATTGCACTATGGGTCAGTTTGACTTACAATCAGAATTGAAACCAAAATCTCTTGACATCGAAATGGTCTATTCCCATAGTTTATTTGGTTTAGATAGGAATTAGAATGAGCTAAAATGGGATTTAATTCCCAATGTCCATTCCCTCACATGGGAAATGCTATTCCACCAGGAATGGAAATGAAATTCTGATTCCACCCAACTAAACAGTTGTAATCGAAATGGTCACTCCAATTCTGATTACAAACCCGCTAATCTCACGAACCAAACGGACCCTCATGCTCATGAAACACTTTGATCTAGACAACATAAATAATCTTATAACTGCTTTATAAAATTTCTCTTATTGGAAGGTTCAGCCTGCATTGAGCCATTGATCAGATTCAGGTTGAGCAAATCCAACTTGAAAACAGGCAGCCACGCTTTTATACAGGGCAGGCCAGCTGCCCAGATAATAACTCATATTGGGCTGAGTTGGAAATTGCCTACGCGTATTATCTATGCACATACATTGAATATGTACGTATACCGTAACCGTATATATGGTCAGAAACTCAGAATTGAGAAAGCTAGAAGGAAGAAAATTCTTAGAAAGCACTAAACACGCAATTTGCACAAAAAGTAGAAAAGCCTTAACGCGTTCCCGGGGAGAAAATCTTCCACCGGAGGAAGGAATACAAGGATTCGGTTCATCGCCAGAGTCTAATAGCGAAGAATAAAGAATTCCTAGCAGTTGCAGGGGCAATCAGTCGCCATGGGAAACACAGAGAAGCTTATGAACCAGATCATGGAGCTTAAATTCACATCCAAGAGTCTGCAACGCCAAGCCCGCAAGTGCGAGAAGGACGAGAAGACCGAGAAGCTCAAAGTCAAGAAGGCGATCGAGAAGGGAAACATGGACGGGGCTCGAATCTACGCCGAAAATGCGATCCGCAAGCGTAACGAACAGATGAATTACCTCCGGCTAGCGTCTCGCCTCGATGCCGTCGTTGCTCGGCTTGACACACAAGCAAAGATGACTACTATCAGCAAGTCGATGTCATCGATCGTGAAAGCCCTCGATTCGTCTCTCGCGACTGGGAATTTGCAGAAGATGTCGGAGACGATGGATCAGTTCGAAAAGCAGTTTGTCAACATGGAGGTTCAGGCAGAATTTATGGAGAGTTCCATGGCTGGAAGCACGTCTCTATCAACTCCGGAGGGGGAGGTCAATAGCTTGATGCAGCAGGTGGCGGACGATTATGGCTTGGAGGTTTCGGTTGGGCTTCCTCAGCCGGCGGCTCACCCTCTTCCGACCAAGGCATCGGAGAAGGTGGACGAGGACGATCTGTCAAGGCGCCTTGCCGAGCTCAAGGCCAGAGGATAAGAGAATTGTGCCATCTGGGTAAGTGATATTATGCTGAAGATTTATGTAATATAAACATCCAGCTTCCATTGGAAGAACGTATATGTAAATTGACTGTATTAAACTTCCGGTTTTCAAATAGGTTACGGTATCTGGTGTATAAACTATAGAGATGGCTACACTCTTTATATGCTCTGGATGCATGTTTACATTCCATTTTCTTGGCTTCATGCAATGAATGTTTTACTTGATACTTTCTTCTGATATTTGCCTATGATTAAGTTTGGGAATATGGGTATTGTTTAGTCCATGAGTAAGTGCCTATCTTTGATGACTTTATTATTATTTAATGTGCTTTCAACCATGTAAGAACATGCTTTTTTTTTTTCTTTTGTTTTCTCCGATTTCTTCATTCTCACTCGCTTCTGAACGAGACGGTTGTAGACTCAAATGTCTGTCAATCAGGATCAGGATCATAGTAATGTACTAATTTGGTTGAGTCATTCTTCATTGTTTTTTGTCCATGTTGGTATGATGCCGCTGCTAGCTGGTTCTCTATATTCGCTACTCTTAGTCTGTTTTGAAAAAGTTAAGGTCTGTGGCAGGGAGGTATTGTTGGGAGTCCTGAATTGAACTGGCATTAGGATAACTACATTTCATAAGGAAAAATAAAAAAGAAAAATTTGCAATAACTGGTCCTCTCATATTTCATAACCTCCCAGCTCACCATCACATGCATCCTTCTGATACCTCCTTTCTGACATCCTTAAGAATTTTGGGGCTCGTTTCAGAGGTTCTCCAATCCCAAAGAGAGGTCTTCAAGAATTAAGAGATACATTATACCACAAGTTCAACTATGTACAAATCCTTTTTTTGGGTGCCATCTGCTGCTGAATTCAATTCCTAGTCAGAACCCTGTAATTCTACGAAAAAATACCGACAGGCCCAATGCAGATTTCTGATTTCCACTGCAGAGCTATAAACATTCAAAATGTCAACAACCCACACTCTATGCACCAACGCCCTCCCGTGAATTGGCATCAATTCCGAGCTGGCACCTACCCCAACAGTACTTTGAGCCTACAAATTCTGACCCTGGGCTGAACCGTCATTCTCCCATAATTCTATAAGCACTGTTCAATGTTGAAACAATTTGTTTTTGTCCTGCTTCAGTGACACGAGTTATGACCACATGCGAACTGGGAAAGTTGGATGCTATAGAGAGAGAAAACAAGGAGGGAACAAGGGCTTCTTGGCTACAAGTAAACTAGAGGAGAGCAGGACTCTAAAATCATTGATGCACAGTGTTAGAAGGCACTGTGATCAGGATCATATCTTCTATAAGCACCTCTTCAGACTATCTTGCAAGTTGCAACCCTCCAATGAAACATGGACACACCAGTGATCAAACAAAAAGCAGATTACTTTGGCAGTTTGAATTTAAATCAAAAGGGTATTGTGTCTGTGTTTTATTGGGGTGTGCAATTAAGTGGTTGAACTGTGGTTGCAGCATATGTTAACTCATTGTGAGCATCTTCCATTCTTTTGATTGTGATTTTTTAACTCCCTTTAAGTTTTGACTTTAGGTGAGGGTACTTGATGGAGATATGAATCATTTGTTTTTGTAAATGATTCCACAAGGTCTGCTGAGTGCTGAGTTGAATACATTATTATTTGCACGATTCAGCTTGAACCTTTGTTGCTTACCATTAAATATCCTGAATGAACTTGAGTCCAACAACATAATGGAATTAAAATGGAGTAGAGCTCTTACATGCCTTTTAGCTGTGCTTTGCTCAATTTAATAGATTGAATTTTCTATTACACTTAAATCTGAATATATCAACATTGACCCAGATTTGGTATGGGTATCTGGTATAATAAATTTATATCATGCCTTTTATCTAGCTTTGAAGCTGAGTGACATTTCTCAAGACTGCCTTTCCAAATTTAATCATGTTTCTAATATGTGTAGATTTTTTTTTTTTTCTAATATTATGATTTGTCAAAACATACTAGTTTACGTAATTGTAAGTATTAGAAGGTATAGAGTATATCTAGAAGTGTCCATGCAGTATACAATGTTGTATCTTATTTGTATTCACAAGTATGTTATTCTTGTAAAGTTATCTGGGTATCATACTTGATGTGACAATTTGAATGCACAATTAAATGTTTTTGGGTAGGTAACATAACACCTCCCTAATCCCTCCCTCTTTTCTTTTGAACCCCAAAGGTGTGGTTGAAGTCTTTAAAACACTAGATTTATAAAAAAAAAAAAAAAGTCTTTAAAAAACTAGGTTCTTTTATACTAGTAGGCCCCTAGTGAACACAGCTTTATTATCTCTTTATTTTAGCAGAATTGATATGGTTTATTTGATGAATAACATCAACTTTAGGTTTCTTGTTCTGCAGACCAATCTGTAGCCTAAATTACCATACAAGTTTTTCTTTTCTTTTCTGTCTTTTTCTTTTTTTCTATTTTTTTTTGGAGGGGAGTTGAAGTTGAAGACAGGGCACTCCCCAGGAAACCTGAGTAGCTTTAACAGATGATAAGGTAAAAAGAAGAGGATGGTTGTCAGTGATTGTGGAATTGGATTCCCTTCTAACTATCAATTTTTTTTAGAAAGATCAGGTTCTGTGCCTTGGCCTTGTTTTGCTGTTATTGACACTTTGACAGTATTAAGTCCCTTGTAGAATTTCATTGCCTTTTTTGTATGTACCTAGGAAATATAATAGTGTTGCATATAGTATTGCACAGTTTAGTACGGATATGTATGGGAGGAGGATCATCTGAACTGGTTATTATTGTCTATTTCTATGGACTGTAGAGGTTTTTTTTTTTTTTTTTTTAGTAAGACTAATGCTTATTTATCCATCAAAACAAGGTAAAATGACTTCTGCTTGAGATTAATTTGTTATTTGTTATGAAGGTTACCCAAGTTTAGCAACTATACAACACAATACTGCGACAGAAATGATTTTAGAACACATTGATGGAGGATATGATCATAAGTATTGCGGAATGTTTTAAGTAAGATTCAGCACCGACTCAGGTATAGAGAGTCTTGGGCCATTATGATGATCATATATTCTCTACTCTGACTGAAGATCAATTAATCTACGCTTATGACTTTATGAGACAATTAAATTCTTAGTAGTGGGTGTGCAGTATTGTCATGCGAACAGAATTTGACAGGAATGAGGTTATAATCTATTGGCTCTTGAAACTATGCGTGACCTCAAAAGTGTTGTGCATGTCTTAAGTCTATTTGTGTTAGATTCACTTGATGGTTAATCTATACAATAGCTGATTTCATTGGCGAAAGAGGGCCACAAGGCAAACTTGAACCATTGTTACAGATCTTGGAAAATTTCTTCTCCCCCTTTCTGTGAAGAAATAGGCAAACTTGTCTATCTATTTATTTGTGATTGAAACTGTCTTTTCACAAATTTGATAGTCACTGCCATCTTGAGCCGTTGATCTTTGTTTTGATGACTACTACTGTTTGGGAAATATGTGTCTTCTGGTAGTGGAAGGAGAACACAGGGATCAGAGCATAGTTGTCAAGGCACTTAGGTGATTAGGCGTCCTTGGAGGGTCGCCTCACCCAAACGCCTACATATATATATGTAAGACACCACATATTTTTATGTTTGTATTTTATGTTATTAATAATAGTACAATAGATATTACTAGACTAAATTATTAATATTTTTTTGCTAGGTGTTTATAGTATTAATATTGTTATTCTTGTATTAGTTTATTTTTATTATTTTGTTATTTGTTTGGATTCAATAAACACACAAGTCAGTGAGATAGTCTTGAACGTAAGAAATAATTTGAAGATTTTTATCCAATTGACATGTAATAACAATCAAACAAATCAATAGGACTTCTTCTTCTTAGGGCCAAAACAAGGGTCAACCCTTATGGTTTTGTATATTTTTCTTTCCTCATTTTTTCTTTTCATAAATATGTTGATTTTTTTATCTTTTGATATAGAGTTTATACTTATTTCATTAGGATGGGGGGAATTATTAATTAAAGATTACTGCTTATTAGTTATTACTATGAAACCGAAGGAAACTATCCTAGGATCTATACTTTTAATTTTAAAAAACTCATCACCAAGGTGATGCCTACAGCTGGGCGACAAGGCATTCTCCTATCGCCTAGTTTTGCCTTGGTGGTTTGAAAATTATGGATCAGAGTTGCCTTGAAAATTATGGACCAGACAACACACGATAGTGGTGATGCAATTATCATCCATTATAGGTTGATTGAGCATAAATAACCCTAATTGACTCCAGGCTTCCTCAAATTCCATCTCCTTTGCAGTTGAGCTAAGCGTTTTAGATGTGAAAGGAGGCTGAGTTTTCATCTATTGTTGAATGGAGAAACCAAAACTAAACGTTAAACTTTTATTAGTAATTAGAAAACAATTTTCAGCAATTATTCATGAGACTGATTTGGGCACATCCCATCCCATTATTGAAATGCTGATAAACTGGGCATGTATCCCTAATGAAAATACATTCCACTATATTTTATTATTAATAATCTATAATAAGCTATGGATTTTTTTTTTGTATGGTTATTAAAGGGTTTAAATGTACGCTTATTACCATTGAGCTTGATTACTTTTACAAATTTACGGACATTGGTAGTTCGTGCATCTTTTGTTTTTTCTTTGCAATGTGTAGTTACTGCATTACGTTCCAATTTATTCGGGAGAGCACCAAGCCCCGTCTTTCATCCCTCGTAAATTAAGCTATTGTCTTCCTAAATCTGTGGTTGGTTGGACAAAGACACACACAAAAAAAAAAAAAGGTGACAGAAATTTCTTAACAACTTACTAGCGGAGGGGGCCCTGCATTTGCAGGGCCTTACTCATAACTATCAGGCTCAAGTTCGATTCGAATTAGAGACTTGAGCTCGGTTTGAGTCAAAAGCTCGGAAGTTCGAATTCGACTACCTTTGATTGCAGGTATCTCAAGCAATCAAGGTGCCGAGCTGAGGTCTCTCTCAGTAGTCGAGGTGTCATCTAGCTCGAGCTTGATTCAAATTAGAGACTTGAGCTTGAGCTTAGAAGTTCAAGATCGGCTCGGTTCGAACTGAACTACCTTTGATTGCAGGTCCCCTAGCAGTCGAGATGCCGAACTGAAATCTCCCTTAATTGGAGAGAGAGTGGCATTCTTGTAATTTATAATGAGAGAGAGAGCATTATTGTAATTTGTAAAAAAAAGAGAGAATTTGTAGGAGAGAGAGTGGCATTCTTATAATTTCTATGAAAAAATGGCAAAAAATATTGTTAGATTTCATTTACCTCATCCTTAGGCCTTCTTAAGTACATATTTCAGCTTAATATGTTTATATAAATCCTCAGGTTTCTTTTTTCTCTTACGATACAAAACCTAATAGTTGTTTGGTTTGAAGGAAAAAGTAGGGAAAGGAAGGAAAAGGTAGGGAAACAATTACAAAACCTGTATATGTTTCTCTACCTTTCCCTTCCTTTCTCCTTCAAACCAAACATAACCTAAAGGAATCCTTGGAGCATATGTTGCATTACTTTCTACCATTATATCCTGAGTAACTATTTATATAACTTATTATGCTGTTTTTGGTTGCAGTGCAAATCTTGACTGTGCAAAATTTGCATTCCTATCCGATGTAAAATTTGTACTTGCCTCTTTTGCATTTTTTGTTAGTACAAATTTTATAGCTCAAAAACTAATGCAAATTTTGACATCATCCTAAACAAATAACTCTCTTTCTACCTCTATTTTATTTCATTTAAAATGGACGCCACTTCATTTTACTTTGCACAAACAAATAATACAAAGTCAAACATAAAGCAAAAGTTCTATTCCCATGCATACATCATTGCAAATAAAATTTGTATTGCAACCAAAACAACCACCTCAGGCTCAGTTTGGAAGGACTATAAATGCAAATTTTTAGAGTGTAAATGCATACAAAATAATACAAAATACAAGGTTTTACACTTTACAAATTTGTATTTGTACTCCTTCCAAACTGAGCCCTAGGGATTAACTTAAATGATGAAGATTGGTAAGAGAAAAAAAACTATTGAAAATAATAATAATAATAATAATAATAATAATAAAAGGATACAAAGGAGACAATCACAGTTAAGGGGTCAATAGCACTATGCCCATGAGTGATGACAATAATAGTCTTTTTTTTTTTTTTTAATCGGAAGGGGCTACACAATGGGGAGGGGATAGCATGTCCCCATACATCACAAAAACAGATAAAATCAAGAGACCACGAAATAAAATCTATACTCGATCTCTAGAAAGAGTAATTATGAGCTAGCCAATCAGCAACTTGATTAGCTTCATAAGACACATGATCAAAGGTGATAAGTTGATAACTGATTTCAAATAAGAGTAAACACGATTACACAATTGCATTTCTCAATGATATTCTTCAATCTCCAAGGTGATTAAACAGCCTTCCTCAAGGAATCATTGAAAAGCTTTGAGTCTCCTTCCAAATAGGCATGTAAACTGTATCTAGAAATTCAATTTTGAATTCAAATCCGACTTAAAATGAATCAAATTTGAATATTCAAATCAAATAAATGGTTGAATTCGAATTTAATTTTCATACCAATTATTTAATCGGATCAAATTCAAATATGACTTGATTCGACCTGATATATATCCCAACCGATTGTAATTACATATATTTAAGTTTACATACATAACCCCATTGTATCTATGTTTCTTTAATAGTTTGAGGGTATAATGGTAAAACCATTTACCCTATACACCTCCCAACAAATCTTCTTTCCTATTCGAAAATCTGGCACATCCTCCAACAAATTCCCTTCCCCCAAAATATCAGCAAAGTCTCCAAGAGATCTCATTTCTCATTCGAAAATTCAACTCTTATGTACTTCTTGTGTGTTATTTGAAGAGGCAAAATGGCAACCAAAGTCAGAGAAATCATCCCACTGCAACATTTGTTTACAAAGTTTGGTGCTAATACTTTGCACAAGCAAAATGAAGAATGAACAAGTTGGAGAAACCTCTGTTATTGCAACGTTCTTCACAAAAGCTCAGCATTATTAGCAGCTCTCCAGCAAAGATCGATGCCCACGTTGGATCGTTTTTGTCTATGATGCGATTGTTGTCAACGACTTGTTATGGACGACGAGAAGCATTAACAGCATGGCGAATCAACTAAGGTTAGATTCTGACTTGTTCTTTTTGATTTCTCTTCTATAAATTTTCTAGTGTTTGGAGCTTTTTGATTTATTCTTTTGCGTATTCTTTACAGTGGGAATGGTTGCCGGATTTAGGTTCAGGTTTAGGTTTGTCAAAATTCTAGCTACTATATTTTGATTCCAAGTAATATTTTTTGTATTTTAATTCACAAATAGAAACAGATAGCCTTGCTTGTTTTTGGGGTTTGGAACAAGGAGATTTTGGTTCAATGTGCTCATCTTTCATTTATCCCCAAATTCTTTATTTTTATTCGAATTATAATTTTATGTTTTTTTGCCAAATCTAAACAATTGAATTCAAATTGGTCAAATATTCGATTATTCACTTGAATTCAAAATTCAGTTACTAATTTTAAATATTCGACCGATACCAAAACGAATTCAAATACCAATTTATCCAATTGGATTTGAATTCGATCCATTTACACCCCTACTTCCAAGTTGATATGGTAGTCTTTAAAGTTGATGGCGATGTTGAGAGCCACTAAGTGGCCCAAACTAAGTTACTACAAGGGAGACTAATACAGTAAGCTTTAAGTTAATAAAGTCTTTTGACTGAAGATGAGGCGGGAACGCTTAAATGTGACAAACCAATGGTTGCTATTTGGTCTGAAAATAGTTAACCCACAATTTCTTTTTAATTTCAGACTGCCTAAATATAGAAATTGTGCCCATGAGATGTCTCTCCTAGTTTTGAATGTCTCTATAGTTAATGTAGGAATGGTGTTATGATGGTCAACAGACCTGTTTATGGGCCGGGCCCGAAGCTTGGTCCATGGACATTTTACATTGCTTTGGGCTGAATTCATTCAAAATTTGGCCAAAACTCGGCCCGAGCCCAACCTATCAACAGGTCTAAGTAATCAAGTTAAGAGCGCAGATTTAATTCACTGAACAAATACAAAAATTTTCAATCTCTGCAAAAAGAAGAGAAAAAGAAAAAGGAAGATAAAAAGAAAGAAATAAAGGGGCTTTCAGTTAGAGGTGTATGTGGCATGTGGGGGCTGGCTTGAGGTCAACCTCCAGCCAAACCGAGTTGCTGAACCTAATTTGATGACTTTGATTGAGTTGGATTTGATGAGATGGGCTCAGCTTGATCCAATTTCTTCATTTGTCTTTAATAAAATGTTTATTATTTCGTAGCGATCGAGATTAATTACCTTTTTTTTTTGGGTAGATCGGAAAATTACAAATAACAAAGTTACAAACCACGAGGGGTGAAACGACCCACACATCACAGAAACAGAGATAAGCTAGCTTATTACACTTAAACACAGCGGTTGAAATATTCTTCAAGAACCCAATATCAGGCTATCAGCAGTTCAGTTTGCAGCGTAGTGGTCTCTCCCAACACATGCAGGCACGTGACTGTCAGATCAAAACTCCCACATACTTCATATCATTCATCAATGATAGTTTTAAGGTTGGGTAAATCCCTAGAGTTTATGAAATTGATAAATTGTATCTTTACTGTTTAGATATTATATTGTTTTACCCTTAAGTTTTTTTACAATTGTCACGGCGTTAAATAATAAGAGAACAAAAAATGAAATCGAATTTATTTATCATTATTCATTAAAATTTCAAGTTCTCTTGTGTTCGAGGAGGCACCGAACGGTCTCACCGTTTGACTTGTGATCAAGTTCTCTTGTGAGCTGAAAGATTCTGTCATGCAGGTTGCAGGCATCCGGATCCTACACCCTCAACCTTCAACTTTGGTATGTTGGTCCTTCATAGAAGCCCTTCTCCCACGAACCATAGGGAAGAGAGAGAGGTCGGATGAGAAAGGGTGTGCCGGGTCGAGAGGAAGGGGATAAGGGTGGTGAACAATAAGGGTATTTTATGAATTTTAAAATAATTAATACTCATATGATGTCACATGTGAATGGAGTGTGATGAAAATTTAATGGCAATGGAAGTGTTAGACAATTGTAATAAAACTTAAGGATAGCACAAGACAATATCTAAATAGTAAATGTACAGTTTTGTCAATTCCATGAATAGTAAGGGATAGTTTAAGAGATTTACCTTTAATGTTCCATGGAGGATCTTCTCTCCTCCCGTTGAAGACCTTGATTACTTATGCTAGAATCCCCTTCAATGAAATGATGGTTCTATTATGACGATATTTTAATCTATCTTATGGCTATGTTTGGTTTGAAGGAAGAGGTAGGGAAAGGAAAGAAAAGGTAGGAATTAATTAGTCAAAGAGATTAAAAAATGTATAAAATACAAAAATAAATTCTCGAATTAGTATCCATCTAGTTGTCATAAGTTTTGGCACATATGCTGTTTTGGTGGAACTCATTCAATAGTCCTAATTCTTCCAACATGATAGAGTGGCGGGGGATCCTGGTTCCACTTTACGTTCCATCCGACTCAATGCGCTCTCATGTGAGTTCGACTTTAGTCAATGCAATGCCTGTTCGAACAATCTTTACAACCTTGTATTGGGGAATATTTTTGTACTTATGTGCCTTATTTCATGTAGAAATATTATAAATTCAAGGTTGCAAGAGGTTATTCCAATGGTGTGAGAATAAGCTTGCTGACCGAAGTGGAACTCCTCCCATGTCCAAACTATATTTGGTTGCAGTGCAATTTTATTTGCACTAGTATAAATGCCATGGGAGTGCAAGTGAAAAAAAGAAAATTCTCATTTAATTTTGTTTTAGGCTTTACTTTATTATGCTTCATGCCTTAATTTACTTCAATCAAACAAAATAAGCTAAAATTTAAAACAAAAATAATTCAGAATTTACACTCAAATCATTTGCACTGCCACAGTTTTGCATCAGTGCAAATAAAATTTGCATTGCAACCAAACACAGCCTCAGGCGTTGTCGAGTCGCGACTCACTCGGACGTTTTAGGTTTATTATTATGAACCGAGTCGCAACATCGGGTGACTCGGACGCACGCACTCATTCTCCCGGCATATATAAAGTATCAAGTGTCTTCCCTCTTTTGTTCGTATGCTGTATGCACACTAAATTCCCGCTTCCTTTTTTTTTTCCCGCTCAGTGAGACAAAAACCCTAAGAAGCTATTAAGCGAGAAATGGGGCTGAAGCAAGCAGCAGCTGATCCAATATCAGATGCTAAAAAGCGAAGGCGAGTCGGGTTTAATGTCGTTGGTGAGTTAACCGTGATTAGTCAAGAAACCTGGAATTTCTTAGTTTTTTTTTCGGAGTAACTTAGGCACTTCCTCTTGATTTTATTGTTTACATGGTTCCCTTACAGATGTTGGAATCGAGGCCAATGAGTGTATTAAAATTTACCTAGGTATGATTTCGTTAATCACCAAGTTCTTTTAATATTTAGTAAATGGTATCTATGCTGATAGTAATTCATGTATGATCGATCTTTTTAATCCTGTTTTTCGTACCACAACACAACTGCATTTTGGGGAAGAAATTGGTGATCAGGTACCAAGAGGAGACCAGCCTCCTTCCCTCGTCACCCGCCTCCCGAAAAAAAAAAAAACGTTTGCTGTGATGCGCATATTATAAAATTTTAAGACCAACTGGATATTTCATTTGGGAGCAGCGTATTATTTTGCGTCTATTAACTTGCATTTTATTTCCTTGTGCACATTGTAGTTAACAGCAAAGATGAAGTTGATGCTGCGTCCGGCTTTCTAATTGAACCCATTGACCTGAATCAGTTTTTCGGTGAAGATGGGAAAATATATGGCTATAAAGATTTAAAGGTAATTCACGTCGAATTTGATATAGCTCATTCAACTGCTCCTCCCCTGCCAAACTAGTTTCTCTAGTTCCATTTCATAAATGTAGTGATTTACCGTGATTCCCTCCAACTGCATTGGAATGCACATCCATTATCTGCATCTTAGTCATTCCTCTTCCCATCCATCTTTAGAATATTGTTACTGTTTTATCTTTATTCCTGAATTATTTTTAAAATGAACTTTTCTAATCACTTATCACCCAATAAATGTCGGATGTCCCTCTTGTTACATGGCATTGGCATGTGATGTGTTTACATCTTGCTAGATGCTTACCTTCAATAATTATTCTGTTAATAGTCTACCTCAATGCGATTTTTTTTAACATTATTTCTTTTGTGTCAATCTATAAAGGTTTTTGGGTCTTTACTTGTCCACTTGTCTTTTCTGCAACCTACTCGTTGATGCGATCTGCATATCACTACAGCCCTAGCTTAGTTACTCTGTAGTTTTGCCTTCCATATCAAGCTTGAATTAGTTGAATATTAATGTACACTTGGGAATAAGAGAAATAGCTTATGGAGACAGGAGACCTGATAAAAATCAATGACACTAATTATAGTATTCTAGACAAAAGAAACCAGTAGTTTGTAATGGGGGTTAGGGCTGCCAACTGGTCAGGTGGGGCTCAGTGTGGAGCCTCAACCCAAGCCCAACATGAGCTGGGGTCAAGCCAAGCTTCTAGCCCAGGGCAGAAGAAATCCATAAAACCAATACTACGCTGCTGGGTTGGGTTTTGCCAATCCAATTCAATCTGAGCTGCCTGGTTCACTTGGTTGGTGTTGGGGGAGGGAGTATCAGAATAGCCATCATAGAGATGGCATTTTAACTTCCCTGCAAAGAGGGATGTGAATAATAACGTGGTGGATTTTTCAATCAAGGAGTCCAAGAATGATTCATGAAGTTTCTGTGATTCATCTCTGCAAGTGATATTATATGTCAAATCGAAAGTTATGAGTTTTTTTAATGTTATTACATGTATAAAACACCATGCACAAGGAAGGATATAAATATGTATGTGTGTGTGGAAAAATGTTTCCTAATTGGGTCAACTAGGGAACTTTCCTACACATTGAAACCAACTTCTATCATGTTGAGGGATCCTCTGGATGATCCAGACCATCCATCAGATAGGAACACACTGGACAGGCCAAATATTCAATCATGTAATCCACATCAGCCCCATACCGAGCCTCTTATTCAATCATGTTCTGTATTCGAACATGGAGATCCTCAAAAACACAAAACTGCATTTATGTGCAGTATTTGCAAGCTACTGAAAACAAAGGGGGACATTTGTATGTATCGAATGCTCTGTCAGATGTGGCTAGCATTTTATAAGTTTTGAAGGAAACAACTTTGCATATGTCATAGATCCAAAGTTCCAACATTGGGGCCTTGGGGGTAAGGGTGGTGTGCCCCAAAATGGGAGATTTCTAAATCTTCTAAATATTCGTCTGATGTTACTCACATAGTTTGCTTAATGTAAAGGAATACTGCCACATGGTATATGAATGACACAAATATTGAACCACAATAACTTGGGAGATAATATATAGTTCTTTCGACCTGAATTGGTTAATTAAAAGCAAGATGTATCTCAGCTTACTTAGATTACTACATTATGAGAAGTAAAAGAAAGAAGATTAACTCTCCAGAAAATATTTTAGAATCCAATTCTCTGTCCTTGTATAATGTTTTTTATGTTCATTCTTTTTGTGCAGATCATCATCTGGTTAAGTACCATTTCATTACATGCGTATGCTGATATTACATTTCAGAGCACATCTGAGGTAAGTATTGACTTTTGCATCTATGGTTCTGGATTTTATTCTATCAGTACCCTAACTTTTGAAGTCTTGTACTTGGTCATCCAATTGCAACTAGAATTTTTCCAAAACCCCTTTTCGTAGAGCACTGGTACCATGGCCAACTAGGATGATATATTCTTACTCACTTCATTTGCTTGCTAAAGTTTTTGAACTTATTGTTCTTTTTCAAAGTTGACCATATTACTGCCTTCGGTTTGCATTATGTGGTCAATTTTCCATTTCTCTAAAAAAGTTAAGTACATCATGGAGTTTTTGCTCCATATCTTATTGCTACACTCTATTAATTGGTTTTGACCTATTGCAAGGGAGGGAGAGGGATCACAGATCTGAAGCCTGCACTGCAGGTATCTTTTAATCACTTGTCTCAAATGATCCTTTTCTTTTACCTCTACTTATATTCTGAATTTTAAGTAATTTGTACAGAATATATTTGGTGAATCTCTGGTTGAGAAAAAGGATGATTTCCTCGATACTTTCACTGCTGAGAGTCATTATATCAGGTGGCATCCTGTCCCAGTAATATCTTTACCACTTTGTATGTGTTTGGTAGAGCTTCCATTTATTAACTAAATATTTGTACTTGATTTGTCTTCAAAACCGAGAAAAGTAATAATGTCAACCGTTTATGACAAGTGCCACTAGGTGCCACATCAGCAGAACAGTGAATAAATGCCTAACCGTTGGGGGAAGCGTTAAAATGAAGCTTCTCCCAATGGTAGGTGTGCACATAAATCAAGGCCAGCTTTTGTGAATATCTATGCATGCAGATCACCATGATGGGCTAAATGCTGATTTGGCGAAGACATGGTGGCATTTTGATAAACGCCTATCACGAAACACCCATGGAACAAACACATGCTTTATGTTTCTAAAATTACCACCACCATCATCATCCAAGCTTTATCCCAACTATATGGGGTTGGCTACATGAATCTTGTTTTGCTAGTCCGTTCTTTTTAATGCCATATCCATTGTTAAATTATTGGTGCTTAAACCATATGTTTCTAAAATACAACCTCATATTTTCTTGTATGTGTTTGAATATGTATCTGCATTAGTTTAATCCTTTCTTTTCTATGTGCTATTCTCAGAACCATCATTTCAAATGGAGAGGTCATACATTATAAAGCCCCCAAGGGACATAATGGTGAAACTAATGGTTGTCTGGAATCAGAAGCTTCAAGTGTGGAGGTGTTTTTCATATTTGTGTCCTTGAATTACAGGATATTAGAATAAATGCCAGCTCAAAATTATAGTCTAGCATGGTATTTTATTCTCAGTTTAAAGGTTGTGGTTGCAAAGTTATAACCTGCCTGTGAAAATGATTTCTGTCCAATCTTCCTATTACAATCAATATACCATCGAATGCTTTTAAGCCATTTTAGAAAGGAGCTGAGAATTTGCTATGCTAGTACCCTGATTGTATATGTTCAATATGGTGTCAATGAAGAACAGGAGCTGGTATTGTCTCTATCTGGAGAGCCTTGACTTTTTATTGGTTATTGACTTATACCACATCATTATATTGAATGTATTTTGCCTCGAAAGATATTTAGTTTATATGTTCTTGATTTTGATAACTGCTCATGAAACTTTCTCCTTGCACGGTATCAGGTCATTTGCATGCCTGTAAACAGTATGCCTGTTGGGCAACTTTACAGTCGGTTGGTGCCACTTGCACTTCTTCTTGTTGATGGTAGTTCCTTTTAATGCTTAGATTCTTACAACACTTTATTCCTGTATTTTGTTCATGTCAATATGGGGTTATGACTTATGAGGTGTAATGCCATCTTACAACAGAGGTTTTCTTTCAGGTAGCAGTCCTATTGATATCACTGATCCAAAATGGGAGATCTATCTTGTGGTTCAGAGAACAGATCAACAGGGGGATATTAATTTTAAGTTGATTGGCTTTGCAGCTGTTTACCGCTTCTATAAATATCCTGATGATTCACGCTTGCGAATTAGCCAGGTTTGTTAATTATTGCTAAGTTGAAGTATGGCTTAATGCCCTAAATGGATCAAGTGCCAAATTTTGATGCGTTATGACGTCCTGTTTGAGTGCACTTTTTTTTGCCTGCCTTTTGAATATAATGTTTTCTGGGCGAGTGGGTGGAGGTGCTGCAAATGAAATATGCATTTCATAAGATACGTTAAACCATGAGCTCAATGAATTTACTAAGCAACGATCAATAATTTAACATTGTGTGAAGTAAACCTCCCCTCCACCCTACCCCACAAAAAGTTTAAAAAAAGAAAGAAAATGCAAAAATGCTGATGTTATCTATGTGATTGCAGATACTAGTTTTGCCACCATACCAGGGTCAAGGTCATGGTCGTCACCTTTTGGAGGTTCTCAATCATGTTGCAGTATCTGAAAAGATGTATGATGTCACAGTAGAAGAGCCATCTGATTATCTTCAACACGTGCGTACTTGCATTGACACGCTTCGCCTGCTTGCTTTTGACTCAATTCAGCCATCAATTAATTTGGCAGTCTTGCATCTAAAGCAAGGGAAATTTTCTGAAGGAAACTGCAGGCTTCAGTTGGATCCATCTGCATCTGTAGTAGAGGATGTTAGAAAGAATTTGAAGATCAACAAGAAACAGTTTATTCAATGCTGGGAGGTTCTCATCTATCTTGGACTTGGTTCCATTGACCAATACATGGAGAATTACATGACCTTTATTTCTGAACGTATCAAGATTGATATATTGGGGAAAGAATCTGATACTGCTGGAAAGCGGGTGATTGAGGTTCCAAATGATTATGACCATGACATGACTTTTGTAATGTTCCGTACACAAACTGGTGGTGAAGCAGGCGGTGCCCAGATTGACAAAACTCAAACTAATCAAGAGGAGCAATTGCGTCAGTTAGCCGAGGGACGGATGAAAGAGATCAAGTTGGTTGCAGAGAAGGTTTCTTCACGTCGTGTGTGAAGTCGGGTGAGCCACTCTGTCTGTCTCTTGCTGGTGTTGTGGGCCTGTGGCCAATCAAGAGGTCTCAACTCTGCCAAAAAGTGCAGCCTCTTTGATTTAATTTTTGATGGGGCTTGCTTGTAAATTATGTAGCAGCAGCATTTATATTTTTGCTCTCTTTAATCTATCAATTGATTACAAATGCCTGTTTAATCATTTAGTTATAATCTTAAGTTTTATGTGATTCCGAGCAATTTAGTAGCGGTTTCTCTCCCCCTCTCTCTCTCTCTCTCTCTTCAAATTGAAGTAATTTTGTTAAGAGGGGTTATTTAAGAGATTAGAGATCTAATACGACCCAGTGACTAAAGACTTCCACGTGGCAACTTACATAACTCTCTAAAAGTGCAATTATTCTTAATCGCCTAAAGGGTTAAAATATTCATTAATACAGGGTGGAAGCAGAGTACAGTGAGTGCTGAATTAGAGCTGGCTTGTTGGGTATGATTCCCATGCTGGCATGCTGCTACCGGTCGGGTATATTTCTTCTTTTGAGGTTGGTGCTCAGATGGAACCATGAACTGATTATAGAATGAATTTTGCCTCAATTGGCCTCTGTTTATTCTTAACCAACCAGCTAACTTGGGAGTATTTCGTAGTGAGGTCTCTGTTTGGATATCCTAAACTCAACTGTGGTATCATTGAAAATGACTGAACTACACCACCACACTCCATAAACTCCATAAAAAGTGTTCTGTAGTGTACCGTGGATGTATTGTTATTCAATATTTTAGATGAAATATTTCACTCATTTATTGCATTACATATATTAATCATCTAATTTACTGTAGGGGTGGACCATTTTGAGAGAAGAGAAATTGTGATATTTTGGATTTCAAAACATGCTTTACCCCGAAAGAATGCCTGATGGGTGTGGGCCGTGTGGCATGTTCCAGAACCTAACAATCGTCGGAATATGCACCGTATAGAACAAACACCCTGTTGTTCATTAGACTAGATTTGGTCTAAAAGAATTGGAACTGTTGTCTTTTTTTTTTTTAATTTTTTTGATGGAAAGAACTGTTACCGAATGCTGACGATTATAAACCAAAAAAAAATTTCTTGCTTTCACTTACAGGTTCTTTTCGTAACCGTTCCATAGAATTAAGTATTAATGCACATGCATTATCACCATTTCATCCAAAAACACGTTATTTTTTGCAAACTCGTCATTTTCAGTGGTTTCCATTCTTATAAATAACTGACCCAATACATGAAAACGGGCAAAGTAGTTAACACTTAACACAGAGAATCTCTGGGCCATTATTCTTAGCTAACTCCTCTCTGCCTTTCTTTAGTCTTTACTACCAAAACCTATACACCCCCAAGACCAGCCACCATATTTTACTTAAATTTAGTTTCTCCGTAGTCTCATCAATCAAAACCATGCTTATAATGATTTACAACAATGCTTGATTCAAAATCAACGTTGGGGCCGCTTACTAATAGCTGAAGTGGCTGAACTCAATGATTTGTGTTGTCTTTTAGTGAATAATTTTTTCTTTTAAAACAAAGAAATAAATCATTTAGTTCAGACACTTTCGTGGTTATCAAATAGCCCCATTGGCATGTGCACTCCACCCTGCCCTGGTTGGTGCAGGTTTTTTGACAATTGATCAGGGGTCGAACCGGGTTTTGGGAAAACCCAAAACTCTGGGGATTGGGGACAGGGCGAGGATGGTATTTGTCCACCCCGCTGCAGCCCTGGCCCTAAGCCCGCCTAAACTAAAACAAATTTGCAGTAGGAATGACCAAAAATGTCGGAAATTGTGAGCAACAGGTATTAATGACCAACGTCCTCTAGCCATGGATGGACTATAGACTCCAATAATCAAACAAGGACACAAGAAACAGCTAAACCACCGAAAAGCATCAGGATAGTAATTTCTTCAGATCAAACATCATGAAGTAAAATGAAACAAAAACCAAATAAACATTTACAATTAGCACCCCCAAAACCCCCTGCATATGAAAGTCTTACAGTTCTTCATTCCACATGCGAAAAGCCCCCTCCAGCATCAGCTGGTGTCCTGTTCATGAAACCAAAAGTTTTAAGGGGACCAAAACAAAAAAGAAAAAAGAAAAGAAGAAATTCCTCAGAGACAGTGGCTATGAAATTCTTAATAAAATAAATGCCTACAGTGAAGTTTGTTTCACCGATGCATCAATGAAACAAATAAAAAATTGGAATAAACGTGGCAGAATTAACCGTGACACACTAATAGAAAATACGTATACACATTCAATATAAATTAAGAAAAGAGTTAAAAGGCAGCATTCACTTGACATGGACAAACTCCATAAACAAGGGGGAATATCACAAGCATGGTCCATAACAACTGATGATATGAATCTAGCAAGCACAGGCTTTGGAAAAGCTCAATAATCATCATAAACTAAAACTTAGAAGCTGAAGAGGATCTTACAGCATAATGAAATCCATTAAGATCTTGAAGGGTGATATATTTATAATGCATGAACACATCAATCTAGCAAACAATCTCAAAATTCAAGTATGAAAAATTGAGAAAGGCTTTCTAAATTCTATACTCAGGTTTTTGCATGTGGAAAGAACCTTCCCCACCTATATTTGAGAAGATCTCTGCATTTAAGAAATCTGGTTTATTCCCTGACCAGGTTCTTGGTTTATTCAAGTGACCAATGCTAATGGAGGTCTTAACCTTTAGGGTTCTATGAGGATCAAAGATAGATTCTATCTTGTAGACCTTTGTGGTTTCACTAATCTCCTTTGTGAAAAGGCTGCTTCTGGTGCCACAATAAGGTTACACAGAACACTTGCGGTGCAGAAGGGAAAAGTAATAGGCAGAGATCCAACACTAAACACATTACAGACAAGCACATATAATGTAAAATTGGCATCTTCCTATTACATCATAAGGAGAATGGGCAGTGCATTCTTATGTTTGATAAAGTCATAAAACACAGAGCATAGTTCTAGAGAAACCAGATAATTAAGAACATTGTATAGATGCTAAGTAAGACTTACTTGTGATCAGATGGATTGGGCATGAGTTCATAAACAATTGTTGCAACAACATCCCTCTTCAACTGTATTTCAAGGAAAGTACGAAACCAAAACAAAAATTGTAACAATATTCCTTCATGGTAAATACAATACTGACGAAAGGTATACACCTATTAAATTTACCTGGGTGGCTTCACCTCGTAAGCCAATATAATGTATCTGAGTTGTCTCAGCACCAAAATTTTCCGGAAAATGCAAAGTGAGACTAGCTACACCTTGAAACCTAGAATATCTGTTGAAATCTTTTGACATAACATTAGACAACAGCATAGTGAAGTAAATATAAAATATGAAATAGAGATCCTCATCATTATTTTTCAAGAAGTGAATCCAACAACAAAAGGTCCATTAGAAAGTGAGAATTCCATGTTTCATCAAGAATTAGAAAGAATGTCTTAGTAGCATGTTGAAGACTCCATTTTGATCATATGCAACTGTATATACACATTTCATTACTTGAACTTTCCATATGTTTTTTTTTTTTTTTTGCTTTAATTTTCCATAGATCACCAATATAAAACTCTTTTAAAAGGAAAAACCAAGTATTCAAGTACCCGTTAAGCATGGATATGTAAAATCCAAACAGACTTCAACATGCTGGTTTTGCAGACCAGATGATTAGATTACCAATATCAATATGCTGATTAGATTGAAAAAAAAAACTCCTATAAAATTTCCAGAAATAAATTTGCAAACCAGATGATCAAAATCATTAAATTATGCTGGTTTTGGTCTTGAGACACTATCAAATGAGACAAGTCAACATTTTGTGTTTAAGGTCTAAGGTTTTGATCCTGGTATTCAACCATAGGCTGAACCACCTAGGACAAGTCTCTTATTTTTAGATCTATGGCATACTACATTGCCTTCTTTATGTATTACCTCCATAAAATCTCATATGATCTTGTTATTAATAAAAAACGAAGAGAAAAACATAAGGTGGCCTCCCTTTCCAAGACATTATTTACCTAGGAATAGTTGGCATATTTTTTCTGGCAGTTCAGCATGTTTAAGTACAAACTACCAGTAATCATCTCTCTTCCATTTCATGAAACATTTAACTTATTCAAGTATCTTTGACAAGCCCTACAGCATAAAGACCTCGAAAGGAGTCTTGAGTTCAAGTCACATTGACAGCATTAACTTGACATTTCATGTGCTTGTTGGATTCTGCAGTCATCAACTTCAAGAAAACAAAGCAAAATCTGCACATTGTACACCATCTGATTCGTAGTTCAACATATCAGCACTATCAATAACTTATGGTGAATGGTAATGAAATGTTTACTAACCACTTTTCTTTGCAGGAGAAGCCATATGTCCTAGAGCTTTGCGATTGGTATATTTTAGCATCCTTGAGAACACAAGTCAATTTATTGATTCATCTTATACCCAGATCTATTTCATGAATTAGGTAGGAACCAAATAAGGTATATAATAATTCTAAACTATGGTAATTTCTTTAAAGCTGATGACCAAGGTCTTTGTACGGACAACTATTTTGAATTTACTTTTAATGCCTATATTTCAATCAGGAGTAACACAAGCATCATTTCTGAGGTAGGACAGAAATGGATAGATATGATCAATTCATAAAGAGAAGCAACATCATATCTCAGCTAAAATGGGGTGAATGGCATAATTACCTTGTCTGGTATTCCAGCACTCCTTGTAAATTTTCTACCAAGTCCCACTCCTTAAGACCCAAAAAACACATCATATAAGATAAGAATAATGAAGAACAGCCCTTCCAACTTAACATGATGCAGTTACCTGCACAGGTTGCATATTCTGAGCATCTGAGAAGTCAATCCCATCTCGATTAATGAACCTAAAACCCAAGTTGGAATTAGCATTTCTGAATAAAGTACCATTAGAATAGATAGAGCATAAAATTGGAATAGGAAATCCAGGTGTTCATTGAAATTAATAAATTAAGCAGAAAAAGATTCCACATCTATCTAGCATCTTTAGATGTCCCATTTTTATTGCATCTGGTGTTGGGTTCATAAAAATTGTAGATCTAGAACAAAGAGAACGAAGAAAAACAACAAATGAGGTTATAATACTGGGTTTCAAGTTTGAAAAGAGAACACAAGCTGATGCCAATGAATTTATAAATAATGGGTTTCAAGTTTGAAAAGAGAAAAATACAAGACAATGTCACAAATCAACATAAAGCCACTCAAAAATCAGCTGCCAATTAAGCATACATGAATTAGAAGCATGGGTAACAAATGTAATACTGTGCAATCACTAAAACTGCATTCTCACCATACCTTAGAAGGGGGAAAATGTTTACTGTTTAACTAAGTCAACAAGCAAAACATTGGATACTTAGGGTCGCTCAACAAATTCAGTGAGCACTAGTCCACTACATCAGAAGCATTTTTTTCCAACACCAATAAAATACATGCATTCGTAGACAGGTAAGTCAAGATGCATGATACCAACTTAAAGTATCTAGGACCTTACATGGTGGGATAATTGATAGAATAACAGAGAAATGTTTAATAGATATGCAACTACAATAGCTTGATTTTCAATATCTTTTGGAGTAATGATGGATCCACCTTTAGCTTGTTACATGGAAACATCGGTAGAGCAGACAAGAGAATACATCATGGTGGAGGACATGCTACTGTGAAGGTTAAACTTACACTCTCATTTTTGAAGGGCTTGTTCCATCTGCACCACCTACAACTGAAATACTCTTGATCTTTACATCTGAAGTAAACCTATTATGCACAGTCAGTTGTAACAAATAAATAAAAGATAGATTGCAACAACCCTTGTCGGCAACTAAAAGTGAATAAGAAACAAATGGTTTAGGAATCTATCAAAAAAAAAAAAGTTTAGGAAGAAAACTGAACATTGCCACAAGTGGAGGTCAAAGTTAGAAATTAGAACTCCATATTCAGATATGCGAAATGGAAAATAAAAAGAAAAGAAAATAAATAAATGACAAAAAGATAACCAGCAATAGAATGGTCTCTAAACAAGGCTGTAATTTCTCGAGATGAACTAGATTCTACGACCAAAATAGGCCAATTCACATAAGAAATAAGCATACAATCATAAATCTCATCAATCATATGATCTCTGTGCAACTTTTAATGATTGAATCCTCTACACTTATGAATAGCTTTGTATCAAAGTAAACAATAAAATACATAAAAAATGGCCAAAAATGATGCCTGTTATTCATTATGTCCCTGTAGACGAGCTGAATGACCTAAAATATGAGAAGAATACATTGTAGAATTTAGCATATTGGGTTGTTTGGAAAACTCTTTCTAATTGGTAGTTCTGTCTGGGAGGTCCATGTTGCACTGGCCTGGAAAGTATTAAAGGAACAAACCTTATAAACTTCCCTTGCATATTTCATACCAAATATGACTTGATACGTAATTGGAACATATCATTCCAGTGATAGGATACCGACAACATATGTGGGGAAGATGTTTCCAAATGTTGTATATATAATGGGGAGAATGAGAGTAGTTTGAAAAAAATTTCTTTCAGTGCATAACAATCGAACCACATTACACTAAGGCTGTTCTCCAAGCACCACATGGTAATGGGAAATTGAGATCCTCAAGAGAAATCTGATGTCAAGCAATTACAAAGTCAAGCACTTTACTACAGATGATAGTTTCTCCTTCAGAACCAATAATGGGACATTCCACTTTTGGCAGCAACAAAATCATAATTATGCCTTATGCACCCCCTTCCCAATCAGCAATCTTCTGACTGATATTAATTCAAAGAACTTGGAGGTCATTGCAACACTTCTAAAGGGATTTTTGAAAAGGAAGTTAGCTTCCTTTCAATAGGATGGAAACTGGCCCGGTATCAAGTAGAGGAATCAACCTATTCAGGTAGTTGTCGTATATGTTGCTAACCAGGCCCTGCTTGATGCAAGTCCAACTGCACATTACCCTCAGACTCGAACCCATGTTTTCACACTTGCCAGCCTACATTTTACCATTACACCAACTAATGGCCCCTAATTGCACATATAAATGGATAATAGACAAAAATATTGAAGAAGTTAGTTAGAAGATTGGAGCTTTCATGATGACCCAATATTAAATTACAGTTGACAGAGCAAAAACAATAACTTACGGGATGAACACAAGTAACTCAGGATCACCATCATTGCTTTCCAAATAGCCCTGACATGATGAGAAGGATTAAAAGAAAAATTTACAATAATTGAGCACTTAATTTGAAAACTAATCATGCCAAAGACATTTCTTAATGACAGTAAATGACCTAATTTCAGTTTTGATGGGACCAATTAACAGCGAAAGGTGTAAAGAGTAGCACTGCATGAAGGAATATAAACAGATGCCCTTTGTGGAGAAAAAAGGAATCAAAGTCAAGGGCATACAATATATAAATCAACAGCCAAACATAGCACCAACTAGTGAAAGTTATCTTGGAACTAATTAGAAAAGAAGAGAGCATAAAAGCAGAAATAGAATCATATCTACTGCCAGACTTCTATCTGAAAAGGCATTATAGCTACTACTTACTGGTGCCAAAGATGCAAAAGCACCAGACAAAATCAACAAATTGATTATTATTATTTTTTATTGGAAACAGTACAAATTGATTATTCTTTGAAAATCCATCTTTCATTAAAAATGGCTGAACAGACACAGACCAATATAAATCCATATCTTTCTACAGAAACTATGAATCATGCCAACATTATAAAAGATCCTTTTTCTATGAGTAACTAAATAAATCTTTATTAATGTATAAATGTGTGTATAAAAATGTACAGGAAAGCCCCCAATCCAGCAAATAGCTCTATAGTAGACCACCTTCACATGGAACCAATTATAGACAAATCTCAACATCATGGGATACTTGCATGAACCTTCTTTATAAATAACATCTAGCTAAATGATATGCATCTTCAATCAGGCATGATTAATACCCCGGAAGAATCCAGACGACACTCCCATGCTTTAAAAACTGACTTTACACTTCCATGAACAGCCTCGTTTAATGCTGATACCTAAAGAAAACAGAAAGAAGAAATAGTTATTTTTGTCATTCTTAGGGGAAATAGCCGGATGCGTATTATAGGAGGCTATAAAAAGAATTAAGAAAACTAACGAGGGAAAAACTATATTGCTTACTCCAGAATGAAATGCAAGCAGATGGGCAAATGTTCCTCTATTCTATATCACTTGCAAGAATAAATGAACTATGACAGATATTGCAGATGCTCGATGACCATAGAAATGGCATTTAGCCTTTCCAAGCGTGATGACCTCGACATAGCTACTTGGAGTCAACTTGATATATCTGTCCACTATTGGTAATATGAACAATAGCAAGTGATACTGTTAAGTAATAACATGTTTAAACAGTGACTTTAGCGTCATCACAAACTTGGTATTGCAATCTTTCCATGAATTTCTTATTCTATACTGAAGTCTACTTATAATCAATACAAACTCATACAACTTTGTATCAGAAGGCACGAACACTGCAGATACTTCAAAGCAAATCTATATTCGACATCACTCGAGTAACCACACAAAATTTCCGTTTCCTTTTTACACCATATACAAACGCCTAATTTACCATAAACGAACTACTTCAGAGATATCCATCCAGTTATACATTGAAAGCACGAATAAAAATCAAACGCAATTATTAGAGGAGGAAAGTCTTCATTTAGAAGTATTGGGTATTTGTTAATTGCATGATATCGATCTGGGTAACCCAGAAACACACTAAGAAACCGAAGATCAATTAGATATGCTGGCTTACCGCAATTAAAAGATTAAAGAAGAGAAAATAAAGAACTCAATATGAATGGACCTTAGGGAGGTCGATGTGTTTGTAGAGAGACCAATCAGCTGCACAATCGTGATCTTCGCAGCTGTGGTCATGCAGGCAAGCCATTTCTCTTTTTCTCCCGCGCTTGCTCGCTTGCTTGTTCTGCAACTACAGCTCCAAGTGAGAGGGCAAAGAACAGGAGGAAGAACCCAGAAGGGAGGGGGAATAAAAGCGGAGATCACATCTGCGCCCCACAAAGGGCTCTCACAAACGCCCCACATGTACATCTCAGCGTGCATTGGAAGCATCTCAATAAATTGTCAGTAGGAGATTCTCCTGGTTGAGATATGCTGTAGGGCGTTTGTGGGGCGCAGATGTGATCTCGTAAAAGCGGGGTTCTGATGATGTTCACTCCTTAATTTGTACGCACTCTTTTGAACCGTTGTTGTGTAGGTCTAGTTCATTAGGCCCACGGCCCAGAAAATAATGTTGACTGTTAAAGGTGATCCAAATTCGATTCGTTTATATTGAAATTGAACCGAATGCGGATATCCCATGTCCGATCTGATATGACCCAATCCTATTTTTGGTTTGAATGCTGCGTTTTTACAAAAGAATGTAGGTTGGAGTTTCAAACAAGTTATTTTCAATTCATTACGTTCATGCTAAACAATATCAAAGTTGTTAATAATAGTTAGATCAGTTTCGTTTTGATTATTAATGCTATTTAATATCCGATTCCAAATAAAATTTGAGTAGCTAATCGCTAAGATTGAATTTGAATCTGAATATTTTTGGATCAAATTGATCCATTTGAAATTTGAAGCCTAAGAAAGAAAAGAGCAAGATTCTCTTTTCTAATAGGGTTTTTGAAACCCATCTGCCATCAGCCCTGAAATCTGATACTAGATTGTGTATCACCGATTTTGGGGAAGGAGGGATATTAGTGGTGTGTATCACTAAAATACCAAAAAGAAAAAGAAATCTGAATCGAGATTCGACCTTATTATTTCAGATTATCAAATTCGGGTTTTGAAACTTGCATACTGTAAGAAGATGGAGTTGTATAAGTATGTTGACTTAGCTGATTTGGGCTGAACCTGGGTTAGATCGGGCTGTTTTAGACCAATTAATTGAAATACTAAGCATCTAATATTCATAATGTAATTAAAGATGTGCACTGGTCAGTTGAGAATATTCTAGAATAAGGGTAAAATGGAAAAGATAAAGAAGGTTCTAAAACTTACTTCATTCAAATTCCATAAATATGGGTTTTATATCCATTTTAAGGGATTTTTACCCATTACTCATTGGAGACCCATTATGGAGAGCGGAAAACCCATTCTCTCTCCACTCTGCCTCTGGTTTTCCACTGCCCTTGCCTTGGACCTTTGGAATAGACTGTCGGTACCAAGTCCACAACTCTTACATTTAATAATTGGACTATTAAATCCACTTTTGACCTATTCGATGCTTTTTTTTTGTGGTAAGAACCTGATGTAATCGTTTTTGGTCACGTACCATTTTTTGTGATGTATAAATTTTTTGGCTAAGTACCTYGTTGTTWGACCCGGTGGTGACGTGCCTTGGTGATGAGCTACTTGGTGGCGAACTGCCCGGTGGCGAGCTCCCTGGTGGAGAGCTACTTGGTGGCGAACTGCTTGGTGGCGAAC